TGTGGCATCACAGAGGCTATATCACTAGGTCACAGGAAGTTTTCAGCTCCATTATTGTGTTATGGAACCTTCATGGAATATGTGGCCTGTTGTTGACAGAAACACATTATGGGGCGCATGACTGTATACACACACATGCACACACACGAGTTCACACACACACGCATGCACACATATACATACACACCGCACACATATACACTTGCCTTGTTCTTAAATTTCTGACTGGCTAAGAAATTATAAGCCAGACTAACTATAAGTATATTAATTATCTGTACTTCTGCACTGAGTATATGACCACCCCCTGGCAAGTCCATTGTCAGTCTGAAGGTCTCACAACCAGCTCTGGGACACTTCCTAGGGGGCTGGAGAGTGAGATGACTGCATTTCATTTGCTGTGTGCTATGAGAACACATGTTGAGTGTGTATGGGATCACTGATTCCATACATATGCCTGGACACATATGCTGGACCTGTGTGTGGGCGGCCTTCACTGTCACCCACTAACACTCCCCAGTTTTCACTAGTTTCAAAGAGAGACCTGCAAAGCCTTGTTGGGGCCAGAGTCTCCTCTGTGGTCAGCACCTGCCGAGGCTGTCCAAGGCTTTTGGTGTGCACAGGGCTTGTTCCTGCTCATCATGACTGAACGGGATCTGTCCAGCCTGGGTGGTGGCATTTTGGGACCGCCCAGTGGACCAAGACCACTTCCCCACCATGTCTTCTGATTTAGAAGGCTCCCATTTTAGAGTGTGAAGTAGAAACAAGAGGAAATAAATATCTGGTTTGGAATGAATTTGAGCTTCAAGCTGCTTATACAGTAGCAGAACAAGGAAGGGGGGTTAGGATTCCCACACCATCCTCTGTCCATCCTGATGCCCCCAGGCCCACAAGCACTTGGCCTCACCACCCATACTCACACCAGGCTGAGCCCCCAGGCCTAAGACAAACCCTCTGGGGGCACTGCTCTTAACCTCCTGCTCACCAACACATCTGCCTCCTGACAGCTGCCTGCACAGTGAATATGTGCTCATCATCCTTACCATGTACGCACTAGACTTCTTGCACGTTGGGTGCTGTGCTCGACATGCTAGCCAAGGTCATGGACAAAAACAGACACGGTCTCTGCTTCCCGGGCCTTCCCGTCTAGCTGGGGAGGCAGAGCTTAACATTATAGCCACACAGAGAGATGCAAAATCTTGGCAGCCCTGTGTGGCGGAAGGGGCCCGACGTGCCTCTGCTCAGCTGCTGCTCTGACAGGCTGGCAGCACCCACAGCCTGCAGGGCCAGTGCACAGGGCTCTGGGCCTGGAGAAGCTGCTCATCCCCCACATCCTCAAGAAAGATGTGGGTTAAAACTGCCGCTGCTGGAACAAAATATCAGATGTGAGAGGTTTCTGATTAAAAATTACATGGCATTTCTGTTGAATTGATAATTTGTATCTCTGAGATTTTTCACAAACATGATAACCAATTTCACATGTATCTTCCACATTCTTCTTGATTACAAAGTGAGAAGCAGGCAGGCCCTGTGTGGACAATGATAAAGCGGCCGGCCGATCGTACGTATCTGTCAGGAGCTGTCCCCGCCACGCAGATTCCACCGTTGCTGCAGAGACACGGTGCTGATAAAGGAACAGAGCCCGGAAAATCAATGCACCTGGGGCTACAGCGGCTGCTAAACACACAGAAAACATCTCTCTCCGAGAGGCCAGGCGCTGCGGAAATTCCCAAGCCCTGCCCTGGGACAGCCAAGGAAAATTTAATCTCTCCAAATCCTCACCAGGGCACTCCATCCTGCAGCCCTGACAGCCACACTTATAATTAATTATACAATTTCGATGGGAATATCGACTAAACAAAGCTATAAATCATAGGAAAAGTCAATAGGCATGGACACATTCAATCATGTCCCGGCCAATGATTACTACTCTTAAAATACAATAATTATTTTCAGGAGCCAGCTTGAATTAAATTTCTGTCAGACGGGTACAAGACCGGTGGTTGATGAAGGATGCGATGGATTTTGGGGGCTGAGTCCGGCCCAGGCACATCCATCCTGCGGACGGGGAGTTTGTTCTTCGTGGTCGTGGTGCTGCGTGTTTAACTAGACCATGAAGATGCAATTACCTCCGAGGGCTCGTTAGCAGTTTACCTCGTCCATCTGTCCACGGGGATGACTTCTCAGCTTCCGGGGATGACTGGCTTGGCACTGATTCCTTGATGTGCCATGTACCTTGGGCAGGTGTGTGGCACATGTGTGTCAGCGTGAGCCTGGCAGCCAATGCTGAAGGTGCTGTGGTCAGGTCCCAAGTAGACAGGGCTTGGACAGCAAGACGGCAGGTAGTGTTGCAGTTGACATCCCCACTCAAGTTTGGCTCTTTGGAGAAACTATGTGAAAGAGCCTGAGAAGGTACCGGGCACCCCAGGCTGCCTTGGCAAACTCATCATCTTTCTGCAGGAGATTCCTGACATAACACAGTAGATGGACTGTGAGGGTCTCTCCAAAATCATGACACAGAAGTCTGCTTTCTACTTCAACCTGACCGCATTTTTTTACTTTAGAATCAAATCTAAAAGTTCTCAAACTAATTTTCTTCTGTATTAAAGAGATATCAAACAATGTCATAAAGTAAACACAGATATTAAGAGTATCCGACAGTAACAATGGTTACCATTTCCAATGGCAATAGCATGTTCTTCGTCCAAAAACAAAGACAAGGACTTTGGATCCACACATAAGACAATCACTCCCCAGATGTTTCCAAAATGCGCCACACCCTCTATCTCCATGGCACCACCCTGGCTCAAGACTATGTTTCTCCCTTAGCCTCCTTCCTGCCCAGCTCCTTGCTCCTTTGGGAACATTCTGTCCCTTTTGTCATCCTGGCACCCTCCTCTATCCCCTGGCTCTGAGGGGCCAGCTCTGCTCGGGGCCCTCGAAACACCTCTTCCCTGGCCTTCTCCAGCTGAAACAGTCACACAGCAGTGAGACAGTACCCCACGTCTCTGGGCACTATCCATGCAGGCACCTGCCCTCCTCGGGCTCTCCCTGCTACCACCCTGCTCACTGCAGAGGGCAGGCAGGACAGGACATGACTGCCTGCCCATAGCTGCCATCCAGTGGGAACCACTGCTGAGCCCTGAGACTCCGTAGGACAAGCAAGCGACGAGGATTCCACTTCACCAGTCCCTGGAGGCCCTCGGGAGTGAGAGGCGAAGGAAAGGCTACATGGAGGGACAGGCTGCTGGAAACCCCGGGGAGAAGGTGCCCTAGGCCTCCATCCCACAGATGGAGCGAGAAAGCAAGCCCAGTGTGCCTGGTTCTAGAGAAGAGGCGATGTCAGGACTCCAGGTCTTCACGGGCCTAGGGAGCATGCCAGGGGGCAGGATGCCAAGGCCTGACCTGACTGTAGCAGTGTAGAGAAGTGGTCTTTGTGGCTCTTGCCGTGGGCATAGATGACCTGGCCCAGGAAGAGGGAAGATAGACTCAGGTGCCACGAGGAGGGTCCCGGCTTGACATTGACAGGTGCAAGAAGTGTAGGGAGTCAAGGGCACCTTTAGGGTCTGGGTTGAATGAGAGGCAGGAGGAGGATGTTACTTTCCGAGGAGACAGGAACACAGGGAGGGGGTGGATTTGGGGGCTGAGAGGCTGAAGGCAGCAGATCCAGTCCTGAAAAGGTGGTTTTGAACCTGGACCCAGGACGGCGGCATCTGCTGGACAGCAAGCCAATCCCTTCATCTGTCACTAATCTGTCCTGGCTCTCTTGTAAGCACTTTGCATGCCTTGACCCATGAGTTCTCCCACACCTTATGGGGGGAGCTAAGGCATGGACGTGCAGCACCGAAGCTCCTAGCTGGTCCAGGATGAGCCGGGGTGTGAGTGCACACACACACACCCAACATCCCTCGACTTATGGAGCCTGGGTGTGTTCCATAGCGTCTCCTACAGCCACCCCTCCGAGGCAGCTTCCTGAGGCGGCAACTGCCCTGCACCGCACAGTGCCAGTGGGGCTGTAGCTGGCTCAGGCCAGCCTCAAGAACGGGTTCTGAAGTTTTCAGGAATCTTGAGAGCTGGGTGTGGAATACGGCTGCCACGTATGGCTCGGAGTCAGTCACAGTGAGTGTGTTTTCACCACAGAAATCGGTAAAATACCAAAAGTTAGGTCCCTGTCCCCAGCCAGCTGATATGTCTGCTGGGACACTGTTACTTGCACATGACTATTTATAGAGCAGATGTATCCAAAATGGGACACAATTTTACTACCGTAAAAATCCACTTGAAAAGAGTATATGTGGGCGGCCCCTCACCGCTTGTCCGTGCTGGACCCTTGAAGAGGAGACTTGTGGTTTCAACATAGAGGGTAGATCCTGCCGCTTGGGCAGATGCTGGGCCCGTTCTCAACGGACTGACTCAAGCTGTATGTTCCCCCTCCCATGCACTTCTATTTACACACCTGTGCTCACGCACACACATGCACACATACACATGTACTCACCCACACATGGACACACATATGCACACACATGTACGCAAGACACACAACACACATGACACACACAGCGGGTCCAGCAGTGGGGTGTGAGGATTCACACAATCACCACCAATGTGCATGTGTGGCCTCTCTCCATTCAGAGTGAAGCCCCAAAACCCTGCTGACCACCTGGAGGCCAGGAAACTTCCTCCCCATCCCCGAGGCTGCAGAGTCTCACTGCGCCACACGCAAGGGCTTCCTGTGCTGATGGAATGGCCATCACGCTACCCACCGATGGGGGGGCAGGGGTGACACAGAAACCACAGCCCAGCCCAGGTGGCATGACCTACCCTACTAGCTGTCCCCAGCAGAGTCAGTCCTGCACTTTGGCTCAAAAACTGACCCTGGCAGGTGGCAGCATCAAGGAAGGTGGTCCTGGGGAAGCAGAAGCAATGAGAGGAGCCCTAGGGACACAGGCATCCCAGGAGAAGAGCCTGGGGTAACTGGCCACATGTGACCACAGACTCACCGCAGTGCCATTGTTGTCTCGAAACACCTCTTGGTTGAAGTAGTCAAAGAGCTTCTTTTCTAACTGGAGCATAACCTGCAAAGTCAGAGCAGCCCATCAGCGCCTGAGCTCCCAGCCTCATGCACTTCCCTGGCCCCCACAGCCCCAAGCAGGAGCAGAGTGGCTCCAAGGGCACCTCCCTTGGGTTGTGCACAGCCTGAATAACACAGCTATAGCCATAGACACAGGTCTCACTTACCTTCCGGTCATTGTCTGACTCTCGAAATATCAACTTCACAACCTCATTGGTGTCGGCGGCCCGGACTGTTTGCATTGTGGCCTTCATGCAGAGTGTCTATGGGAAGACACAGAGAGACTCAGTCCCAGGAGGGGAACGGCCAACCTGCTGCCCATGGCCCACACTGCCCTAAAACCGAAATCGGCAGTTCCTGACCACTCCAACTGAACGAGATGCCCATCTCCAGTCAGTGCTGGTGGCTCAGTGTTGCTTCCCGCCCAGGTGTTTCTGCCTCAGGCCACCCCACTTCAGTCCCTCGGTCCCTTGCAGGTGGGACGGGCATCTCTGCTCGTCCCGCCAGTGTAGTTACAAAGGCCACGCAGACCATAAACCTGCTTCAGCTTAAAGCAAGAGCAAGAGCAACACCACCAATGCAGCTTGACTTCGGGGAGGGGACAGGTCTACAGGAGGCTTGGCTAAGAAGGGGCCGAGCAGGCTCGTTTTGGCCAAAGCAGAGGTGTGAGGGATGGCTGAAGTCACGCGCTTTTGCTCGCTGGTGTTGACGCCACTTAGACCAGCCCCCGGGACAGGCTCGGGCTGGCAGGGAGGGAGCTGGGGCTACGATGCAGCAGGGTCAGGGTGGTTGGCCTCTGGAGCCATGTACACTCAGCAACCTGGCCAGCTATGGGCGGGGGCAGTCGTCTGGGCAGAGAGGGGAAGGCCAGGTGGCCACCAACCTTTCCATCACACTACACAGTGCTGCTCCGGAAGGCACATTCCTGGGCTAATAGAGAGCAGGCTGTTAATAATCTGATGCAGGCTGTTAATAATCTGATTGTTAATCATCAGATACAGACCTGTTTAGAAAATTCTTCTCAGTCGGACTCAGTGGCTCAGCCTGTAATCCCATGCCTTGGGCGGCCGAGGTGAGTGAATTGCCTGAGCCCGTGAGCTCGAGACCCGCCCAGGCAACTTGGCGAGACCTCATCTCTACAATAAATCAAAAAATTAGCCAGGCTTGGTAGCGCACGCCTGTAGTTCCAGCTACTTGGAAGGCTGA